CTCTCCTCCCTCTGCACTAGCCCGTACAGCAGTGTGAGATAATGCCCCCGCCTCCACCTCCTTGTTGTAAAAGGAAGAGCTGCCATTCCAGGCTCTTCTGCACTCCTCTCCCCACCGTTCCCCTTCTGGTTAGCATGCCCCCCCTTCCCCCCCTGCCCAGTACAAGGACTCCTGGAGGTTCTGGGCCATGATGTGTCTAGCACATGAAAAGTCCCTTTCACAGACTCTGCAGCCTTTGATAAAGATCCACTTCTAGGATGGGAGACGTGATACAGTATCTCAGTTGTGTGCACTATGCCTCACTTTGTCCCTGACATAATTCACTAGACTTACTGCACCATGAAAATGGGGCTGCCCATGCTTTCTTCGCTTACAGCTCAGGGCATGGCACATAATAGGTGCTCAGTAAGTATTACTCTTCTTGGACTGAGTGAAATATTGCATTGGGCAGTGTTTGAAATTAGAGATGCATTGAATACATAGTTCTGGCAGAAGTATATTTAAAAACGGAAGTCCGTGTCTTAAACGTTGTCTTGAGTATTCATGCTAGTTAAAAGGAACTGAGATCGGGAGTTAGAGGGTCTATGTCAGGGGTGGGCAAACTTTTTGACTCGAGGGCCACAATGGGTTCTTAAACTGGACCAGAGGGCCGGAACAAAAGCATGGATGGAGTGTTTGTGTGAACTAATATAAATTCAAAGTAAACATCATTACATAGGGTGGTACGGTCTTTTTATTTCAATAGTTTTATTCATTGCGGGCCGTAGTTTGCCCACGGCTGGGTTAGAGCATCATTCTGATCCAAGGTTGCATTCTGATACACCAAGGTTGCAAATTCATTCTCTAGTCAGGGCACATGCAAGAATCAACCAATGAATGCATCAATAAGTGGAACAACAAACCTCTCTCTCTCTCTCTTTCTCTCTCTCCAAATAAATCAATACCAATGATAAACTCTTAAGGAAGCAATTCATATTATATATTACGGTGCACTTTTTTATTTTTTAGCAAACAAAATGAGTGTATTCGGGAATAGCAGAGGAATTGCAATACGGGACAAGCCAATTATGGCAAACCCTAGGCAAGTGCGGGAGGCAAGTGCAGAAGGTCAGCTGTTCTTAGTTTTAGGAGTGAATTGGGGAAAGCTGTGGCGGCTTTTATTGGCCGTGAGCAGAGGCAGCGGGTTGGTGCTGGGGGAGAAGGAGAGCGCGTCCTTCCGTCCTCCCGGCTGGCGTCTGCAGGCTTCGGTGAGTGGTGCTCCTTTCGTCGCCCCCAGACTCCTCTTGATTTAGGGGTCCTTTGTTCATTTTCGGACTGTTCTCTGTATCTGTGGGCCTGCTTGTGTTTTGTTGTTGCTGTTATTTTTAAATCTCATATACGTGAGATATGGGGCACGCTGTTACAAGCTGGATCCATTTCTAGTATTTCCAGCATCCTTTAACAGCCAGGTAAACGCCTTATCCCCTAAAGAACATCATGGAGAGCCGGGCCTCGAGCTTGGCTGCACATTAGGATCGTCTGG